TTAGCAATAAAGATTCGGTTTAAATCGAGGACAAAATGATATTGTGAAAAGATTTTTAAAAATTCCTGATTTCATTTTGCTACAGAACTGCTTCATTAAAGCACTATAATCAGCTTTTTATCCTTCTACTGTTGTTTTTCCTTCTATATTTTTTTCCGCGTCGACAAATAGATTTTTTTTCTCCCAGAAACATTTGTAAGCATATTAATAGAAATAATATGTTAAAAAAGAAACACAGGATTCTATGAAACTAAATTAATAAATTTTTTCTCTATACTCAACTTTTCATGGACTGAAATGTAATTAATACATACTTTTAGTCTTATATTCTACTCATATAAATAATTTTTTATTACTTTCTACATCTACAACATCTTTATGCTTGAAAATATTAAAAATTAAAATATAACGGGATGCAATGAAACACAAAAAATTTTGCCAGAAAAATTCGATTTGGTCCATTTATAGACTCTTTTAACATTCTATTGTACATGGGCTCTGAATTGTATGGAACCTCGCAAAGTGCACATTGGATCAAAAATCTAAAAATACACCAGTGAAATATGTTTTCAAAAGATGCAATCAATTATAACAAATTCAACCAAATGTTCATGGGCGATGCCGTAATTGTAAAAATGAAGATGGCGTAAATTGTTTTAAAAATAAAGCTCTCTCTCAAGAAATGCATGTCAGATCGCAAAAATAAGAATAAACTTATTCGAAATTTTGAAAAACTAATTTAATATCACTCCCTTCTTCACCTCCTGGTGCTTGGAAGACTCCCGGAGGAAGTTAGTTTTAGATAAACTATTTTTTCAACCCAAAGGAACATATGAGGGGTCTGTTTAGAAAAAATTTGGGTCTGCTAACGGACCCTTCACAAAATATCTGCTCATAAAAACGGACCCTTCACAATACAATTTGTCTTTTAATCGGACCCTTCACAAATTTGTTTATCTTCGTTATTGTTTTGTTAATCGAATAAACCCTTTCCGGGGGGGGAGAAAGACTGTTCGAAACAAACTAAGTTTCCCTAAGTTTAAATTCCAAATGTAGTATTCTAAGAAAATATTTTTACTTTTATAAACATCGTGTGCGCATTCTTGTTAATATTAAATCATTTTTTTTTGTAAATAAATAATGAATCAATTTATATTTATTCATAAAATTAATCAATAGAATATTATGTAAATAAAAATTAATTTCTGGCAATTTTTTAAATAAAATAGTACAAATTTAAGAATTGCTTAAGTTAACTTAATGCGTGAGATATTAAAAGTGATACATTACTGAGTTATGCTATTTAAAATACGTCAATTGAAATTACTAAAAATGTGAGTGATTTTGTTTCCATTGTTCGTCCGAAATGAATATTCTGTCTTGAGCAGTATAGGCTAAATACCAAATATTTGTATGTTGCATCTCTAATTTAGTAGCAGCAATTATTGAGCAAAATCTTGTATCCATTTACAATTTAAAAACTTCTTGAAAAGGTTTTCAGCAATTTTTGCAATAACTGGACCTTTCACAAAATGTCTGGACTGACCCCTGCATATATATATTAATGTGAACAAATTCTAACGTGCTAAATCTCGTTTTGCTTTCTACGAATTTAAAAATTAAAAAATCCAGTTTGTATGAAAAGTTGAAAGTAAATAAAAACATCTAATTTAAAAAGCGTTATTCGTATTCTTTTTCTCTTTTTTTTTCTCTTTTTCTTCACCAGTTCACTTGATTATTAGTTGCACGTGCATTTTTTTTTTTTCATTTTAAAATATTATTTGAGCTCTCTTAAAATTACAGCTTTTTTACCAATTAAATATTTCCTTTCCATCTAATAATATGAAATTACGATTTTGTGATAACAGGTCGCCGTAGTGAGCAGTTGAGAAAACTTTCTAATTTACTTTAAAAAAGTTCTTATTATTTTGTTTGTATGTTTTTTTTTAATGTTTTCAATGTCAGTTTAATGCCTTAAAACCTTTCCCTTTCTTTGAAAATCTCTTTCCAGACACTTTTTTTTTTACTTAGAAAAAAAATTAACGTAATTTTAATGCTCATATTGAAATTTCGAGATCGGTGTTTTTGATTTTTATTTAGATTGTTGTGTGAGGAGGAAAAAAATAAACGCCTTTTAGGTATCGGTCATTGCTTTAGTAGTATGAACCGGTTTTATTAATAAAGTCAGTTCTATTTCGGCAAATAGTAAATTGGCTTAAATAATTATTATAATGAAGTAAATAATGAGATTTTATCAATATTATAGAGTTTGTAATTTGGGGGTGCAAAAAATAAAATAGAAAAGATTCACAAAAGTAAATAAAACCATTTTTATCAAAGAAATGAGAAAAAAAACGTGTGTGTGTATATATATATATATATATATACATATATATATAATTGTTGTTTGANTTATATATAGATATAAAATTTATTCGCTCGATATTTTCTCTTCTTTTAAGTATTTATTTTAAAATTCAACCGTGGTATAGGGCAAAGTTAACGGTTGCCCCATATTTAAATATAACAAATGGCGATAAAATTTTTTTTGACAATCTCCACCTGATTGTCACTTTTCTCGCCGAATGCACATTTTATTATTTTTTAAGCATGGAGTTATTTTGAATATTTTATGATGTTCTTAAATTTTTTTTCACTCTTGTTTCTTAAAATTTTTCTTCGCTTTAAAGATGAACCCTATAATGTTTACCGTATTTTGAGAAATGCATTCAAATATATATGGCATCATTATTATCAGCAGTTTTTTTAAAAAAATTCGTTTAAAATTGCTCAAAAAGTGCTCACTATAAAATACTTCAACTGACCACTGGCTAGTAGCAGAATTTCCTAATTTTTCTCTTGATATTTCGATTATTTTTCTCGCGATATTCTGGCTGCGAGGTTTTTTTCCCAAACCACTCAATTATTTTATCCCTAGCATTTCAAAAGTGATTAATATTTCAAAATTAAGAAGTTCGCGAACATCATAATATTTTATAGATATAATTATCTTTATATCGTTCGATTTCGATTTTTTTATAACTAAAAGTGAAATTCAGCAATAGAAAATATTCACTTCATTTATATGTACAAATATTCTTTAACTTTTTCTAAATATACAGTTTTCCATCACTATGAAATGTTGCATTTGTACCTCCTTGGCTAGCAATGCGTTAGCGGTGCTTAAATTTTTAAAAACCTTATTCCTAAAGATTTGTGGTATTAAAAAATACATTTAGAAATGAGTTGCTATTATTTTAAAAGTCAAACAATGTGGAAAACGGGTTTTCTCAGTTTCACATTTTTCAAAAGGGGAATGGGTTATAATTTCAAATCTTTTTAATTAATTCAGAATACTAAGAATAGTACATGGACGAAAAAAATGAATGGAAATGAGCTCCGTAACCGATGCGGGTTAATTCAGAAAGGCTGCTTAACATTGCACGCACAACATGCGGGCAAATACAAACAAAGGGTTAAGTATATCCATAGAGTTGTTATAAATATAAAGTTGAAATAAAAATTCACTCTTATTTATACACATTGCTTTCTTTAGATTCTACTGATTATATATTTTATCCACAAAGACGTTTAAAACCATAGAGAACGTGGCAAAATGAGATGCAATTTGAAATATAAGTAAATAATGTGTTCTCTGTAAGAATTATAATTAAATTGGTTTTCATATCTTTAGAATAATCTCCATTAGAATTTTCCGAAATTTTTGAATTCTTTGGAAGCTTTTAATACTTGTGTTTTTAAAAAAAGATAAGAATAAACTCTTTTTTTGCTTTAGCTATAGTTAAATGCAAATGCTTTTGTATAAACAAATAAAATATAATCGCATCATTAAAATTTTATATATTATTGTAAACATAAATAGTTTATAAATACTTGTTTTATAGGCGTTAAGACTCAAAATAAGATAAAAAAAAAATTAATAAGTAAGACTTAAAAGGCGTTAAGACTCAAAAAATTGATATTAACTATTCTTTTATTATTATGACAAATACGATGTGCTATATCTCCTATATCATAAAGAGCTGTGATAGTGTACTTTTTCCCACAGCTCTATAACAGGCGTTTATTATTAAAAACTCCAAATTCGGTACTATTCTGAACTGTGCTTTGAACCGCCCTGAATGAAGAAATGTTTTCCCGAGGATGCTAATTAATAATTATACAAATAAGGCTGTTTTTAAAAGGCACTGTTATCACATTAATTTATGTATTTTCGCAAATAATATGCTATTTTCATAACTTCTCTGAATTTGCAGCAATTACTCATTTAGGTCAAGTTTAGATGTTTAGCCAGCACTCCCTATGTTTATTCTGAAAATAGTGCAAAACGTTAATATGATGAAAAGCCAGTTTTGTGAAAATCAAATGCGTTTGTATTCTGATTTACTAATATTTAAAAACTTACTCCAATACTATATTATCTGGGCTCAAAACAATTAGCAAAAACAGAGAATAAGGCAGCGATTTTGATAATTTCCATCCAGGTAGAAAAATGTCGCCAAATTGGCGATTATAAAAAAAGTTTAATAACTTTTAAAATATTGAAGTTATTTGTCCGTTTTAAAGCCCTGATATGATATATACAGTTTAAAATTATCGCTTTACTTCAAGTGGAAGGTACTTAAAAGCTGTGGCCTTTTTATTTCCGTTGGTGACAGAGTTTCAAAAAACCAAGTTGAACAAAATCGCACTAAATTTATTCCCGAAAAACAGGGGTGCGAAATTGGAATTTACGCTTTTTTGGTGTATCATAGAAAACAGGTTACGTTGTTATTGTTCCTAACCCAGTTTTGCACTAAGTGCCTCACTTGGTTCAGTCGGCTGCAATTTAATATATCGCTTGCTTGGGTCTAAATTTACTTCAAATAAATATTTTCCGGAAAATCATATAATTTTCTCCAACTTACTCCTAAATAGGTATTTTAAAAAGAAAATCGCATTTGATTTAGTTCAAAAAAATTGGCAATTTTATTTAGGTTTTTATTACAGCTAGAATATAGTGGAATAAATAAATTGATTTAAATTATTGTTTTAAAATTTATTTTTTAATGGAAAATTAGTTTTCTGCGATTGCTCCAAATTGTACGAAAGCACCAAAACACCAATCACACGCTTCACTGGGGAATAAAAAAAAAGCCAAGGCTCTAAAAAAAAAAGCTTATTAAGAAATAACGGCATACTAAATCGGCTCATTAAGAGTAAAGGCTATTAGCTTATTATTGTGTTTAATTTTAGCTTGTTTTAACTACTTCTGAAAAAAAAGAACTAATTAAAACAAATACTACATGTCTTAAAATAACGCAATTTCAATGAATACATCATAAAACTTATTAATGCAATATCTAAAGAAACATAAAATCCCAGCCTCTATCTCTCTACTGCTTATCAATATCTTTAAATTGATAGAGATGATATGCCATCTCTTATTTAACTATGTAACAATAAATACAACCGTTCAATGCTGATTTTGGATAAATACTGATATGATCACCATCATTTGTTTCCTTTTGTCCTGATAAGTGTATTATAAAAGTGGACCATCAGATTAAAGCTTTGTTTAAAAATAGATCATAGCTACTGCCAGTCCAAATCTCCGTTTTACTCTTTTTATATGCAATAACGGTTCTTTTTGCCGTTGTTCCAAAGAAAAAGTACTTCTTTTAAACAATGAAAAAAAATTTATAATTAGGTGTGTTGTTGGTGATGGTATTAGAAAAAGCGCCATTCACCACTTGTAAAACACAAACATGAGTTTAGGAAAAAGAGATTGGAACAATTAGAGGTTGTTTGAAGCTTGATTGAAAGTATGCCGATCCAACTACACCTTTTTTTAATAGCAGCAGGTTATTTTTATTAAGTGATGATATACCTGGCTATTCTTATTTAGTTGAAATGAGCTCTATCATTGTTCATTTTCTCTTGTAACCTTGTTTCTTGGCGGTTTTTTCAGTTATGGTTTTTGTTTGGTGGTTTGCATGAGATAATTTTTGTTGATTGTTTGAGTTGAAGTTCTCTTATGATGGCATTTATAGTTTGATGGTTTAATAACCTTCGGCATTGATTTCTAGATTCTTTGCGAATATTCAGTGAGTGTGGTTTGCTTTTTGAATAAGAACTTAATTTTGTACACATGGGTTTTTCAAAATTGGCAGTACTTTGAGTAATGTCTGGGTATGTATGATGTGATATCTAATATTTACATTACTTTTTAAAATTATTTTCGTATGTTTAAAATTTTAATATTTATTTATTATTCCGGTTGTAGAACTTAGTTCGATATGGTGCACTGGTTTATTTTGGCAAAACCAAATATTTAAAAAGGGAAAAAAAATTATTTTAAAGCTAAAGAAAAAATAGTTTCCTTTATCTTGTCTTTCATCTTCATAATTTAAGTTCTTCTCTTATTTAAGTTTCATTTAATTAATTTTGAATACTTCCTTTTAACAGTGCAATTATTTAACATATAAGGCATTATTAGACATTCTTTCTTTTTAAAGCTTCCAAGCCTACCAAGTGCAACTTTTTGAATGCAAATATTTAATTGATAGCTCTGCTGATAAATTTTGGATTTTCTCCGTTGTGTTGCAGATTACTACACAGGTTCTACTATTGGGTTGATTTATCTAAAATTTCAAAGGTATATCTTGCGCACTTTTGTCTATTAAGTGATGGTATTCCTGGCTATTCTATTTAGTAGAAATGAGCTGTGTCACTGCTCAAATTGTGTGTTGTGTCACTGCTCAAGTTTTGTGTTCTGTCACTGTGTGAGCTGCGTCCCTGCTCATTTTTTTCATGCGGATTTGTTTCTTGCTGGCTTAATTTCTACTTTCGGTTTTTGCTTGGTAGTCAGCATGAGATAAATTTTGTTTGGATTGAAGTTGTTCTACGATGAATCAACTGATTCTTCGATTATGTTTTTATTGTAAAAGTGTTTCTTAGAAATATCTTACCATCATGAACCCATTATGTTTCTATTTAATTAATATTTAAATTGTATAAAATACAAATGTAGCTCAGGTTTAATTCTTAAAAATACAGATACAATTCTTTTTAATTTTGTGTTTTTAGGAAAATAAACTCTAATTAAAGTTTTTATATTCAAATATGAATTGTTCTTTGTAATTGGTCTTAATTTGTTAAAACGTCTGGTTCTATGAAAAAAGTGTGTTCGAATAAATGTCGAAATATATCATTATTTTTTGAACTTGAAATATGAACCTTAATTTCATAATCTATGTATTTATTTCTTTTATGTGGCACAAAAAAAACGCAGGTATTTCTCTATCTAAATTGGCAACACTATAGTTATAATTAATTTTGTTAGGTTTTCTTACGTAATAATTTAAGTAGTGTTAAATAATTTGTTATTCGTTAAATGTTTATTTAGATCCCTTTTGTTAAGTATTCTGTAGTAATAGTTAAGTAGTGTTGAATACGTTACCAATTATTGGTGATGGAGCTTGCCTTCTTCAAGCAATAGCACAAATATTATACCATATTCAAGTTTTGACTCGAGAGGTTCGTGAGGAAGTAGTACAACACGTATTGGAGCATCGGGATGAGTTTTCTATCTTATCTCGCGTCTGAAATGGAAACACGTTTAATATTTCTGCTGTCTACTATGCTGAAATTTCTCGAACTCATACTTATGATGGTTTCTGTGGTTTAGTGGCTGCCGAACAGATTTTAAATTAATATTAAAATTCAATGCATAGAGAACTTTGATAACATATAGGACGTGTCTTGAACAGGTGCATAGCGTTTTTAAAACGTGCTTAAATGTGCTTATTTTCGATTTTCGTTTTTTAAAAGCCCTTAAAGGTGCTTTTTCTATTGGGTGTTTTTAAAAAGTGCTTAATTTTCCCTTTTCTAAAATGAGATTTTTCCTTTACCATGTTGATTTTTGCTGCGAATTATGCAAAAAGACGCAGTTCACATTGTTCTATTCAACGTTTTCACAATTAATTCATCCCCAATCTATTTCGGCGTATTGTCAGTTAGTAGCATGAAAACGTCATTCATTTTACATGACTCAAAATTTCATGATTATCGACATTTGTCAAAAACAATGCCAAAAGGATTTTTTTTTTGACACAACGGTTTAATTCCGATAAAACCGTCAATTGTGAAAAACTTTCCAACCCTGCCTAACTATGATATTTTTTTAAAGTGCTTAAAATATTTTTTAAGTGCTTGAAAAGTCCTTAAAAGGTGTTTATTTTTTGTTGAATAATTTGGCTACGCACTCTGCTCAAAGTAGTTAAAATTAATATCAAATTAAATCGGACAACAGTTATATTATTACTATTATTCAAAATGCATTTTTACACTTATATATAATAAAAAGTGCATTCAATATAAAAAGTGCATTCATACACTTTTTATATCAATCACTTTTCATAACTTTATTTAACAATCCATCTTAAACTCTTATTTATATTATTACTAAAATATTAAGCTAAATAAATTTTTTAATCAGCCATTTTTCAAGTCATTAGCCAATAATTCTTGAATTCGGATTCGCGTTATTATTTTAACAATTCTATCCAAATTAATATTTTTAAATTTATTGATTATTAACTAATGGATTTTCCAATCATTGATTAATAATTTCTCCTGAATTCGGAGTATATATTATTCATATTATAATATTATTATTATTTTAAAAATCTATCCAAATTAGTTTTTATATCAATCATATTATTCTTGAATATTCTTGATAATATTCTTGAATTCGAATTATTTAAATAAATCTTTATATCAACCATTTTTCAAAACATAAGTCTTGATTAGATTCGTATTATTATTTAAACTAACATAGGTAAATAAATTTTAAAAATCAATTATTAATTAATATTTTTTTTAACAATTCGGATTTATAATTCCAGAATCTAAAAAATCTTCAGCGAATAAACTAAGCAGATACAGCTTTTTTTTATCATTCTTATTTCATCATATAACGTTCACAAAAAATACTCCTTTTAATAGAATTTGCATTTCGAAATATTACATTGATATTGTACAATACATTTGTCTTAAGCTTTTACTACAAGGCTGGTGTAATAATTCTTCTAATCTCTAATTTTCTTTGAATTCTTTGAAATGTCAAGAGATAGCTTTGTATACGAAACAGCGATTGGTCAAGAGAAACACGCGTCATTGTTTTCTTATTTATTCATCGTTGCAGCAGAAGAAAGATTTATGTAAAAGAAAAAGTTTTCTTTTAAAAAATAAGACAAATTGTTCTTGGAATATCCTTTTCCAATTCCAAGGTTTACTGGAACACGGTTTTTTGTGCGAAGCGCTCGTGACGCAATAATATGCTTTGGCGTTGGGATATGTGTAAATTATCCTTTATAACTTGTTCTTTACGTAAAGAAAAAACTGCTTGGCCAGGTGCAAGGTCGCCAAATTTGTGACATGCGGGTCAAGGTTAGAAGATTTTTCTCGGTTCCGCCGATGAAAACCGTAAAGTGAACGCTTACAATATTTTGTAGATTGAATAATTTTAAAATTTTTCTTTCAATTTATTCTGTAACATTTACCGACTTTCTTTTTCCTCGTGCTATTCAAGTTTATTTTCGATCCAGAAATTCTTGTTTTCCAGAATAATTAAAGTAGTCGTTAAACAATAGTTAAGGTTATAGCAAAATTCTGCATTTTGGTTCATTAGCACTATTTCGCCGCGCATTTTCGCCAAATCAGAAAATGAATTAATGATTCAAATTTAAATATTATCTCATTTTTTGCATTAAGTTATATTTCTATTTTGTCAATTTTTAATAATCAATTACAAAATTAAAATTAATATAAAGGCTACCAAACTGACTCTAAGGACATTGTTGACCAAAATGGTCGACGGGATAATCCGAAAGTACCATATAATTTTATTTTTCCTGCTTACAACATGACTATCAGGTTTTATGCATTTGCATAAATTGTTTATGCGTCGTAGTGGTCAAAATTATTGTAAATTGAATTTATTAAATAAAAAAGTGTAACATATAGAATGATCGACGGAATAATCCGAAAGTACCGTAAAATTTTATTTTTCCTGCTTACAACATGACTATAAGGTTTCATGTATTTGCCTAAATTGTTTATGCGTCGTAGTGGTCAAAATCATTGTAAATTGAACCTATTAAATTAAAAACTAAAACATAAAACGTTCGTCTATTACACCTATCAGTCGGTTCCATAAAATTAATTTTGTTTTTGTGCTGCAAATTTCGACCAATAACAAAGTTTTTTTTTCTTCTTCCTATTTTTAAAAAAATAATAATAATCATAATAGCCACGATAGTTTCTTCTTATGACGGATCGAGTTTTTTTTCTTATGATTATATTTTATTACGTGGAATTAAGTTTCTCCTTACAAAGGATTAAGGAAAATATTAGCCTATTGGTAAACGGCTATTATTAATGATTGCCATCTATTATTTTTAACAATGACCTAAGTATGTGAGTGCCATTGCCCGGAATACCCTACACACATATTTTTTCAAGGTTAAGTGCTACTGATCGGAATATATAATTTTTTCCCTCTGTGTTTTAGTATGTTAAAAGCCTTGTTTAAGTATTTCAAAATATATATTTCTAAATTAAATCTTAACATTCTGAGAGACGACATTCAAAGTTGTCTGAATTTTAAAATTTTAACACCTTAATATTTAATTTAGTAGCCAATTTATTTTTCGATTGTTAGTTTATTAAATGGAAAGATTGTATTTTGTAATTTAAATTTTATTAGTGTTTACATTTTAATAAGCGTGTTTAAATTGCAATGGGTCGATCAATCAAAAACATAGTAAACAATTGTAGAGATTAATGGAAAAAAGTTCTATGTTATATATTATAGAGAATTTAGGGACATGAGTCTTAGATAAATAGGTGTTTTTTGAAACAGTTTTTTTTTTCATTAAAAATCGTTTTATTTAATGGCCTGGTAAAAAAAAAGAAAACTAAAGTCTATACATTCAGCTTACCATAACCTACTAATAAAGTTAAAGTTTCCAAGTTTTTTCAATGTATCACTTAGTTAGTACCTTCTGCCATTTTGCTCTTCAACTAGAATGGTAGGTTTTTATGATAGCATTTTTATTTATTTGTTACTAATTCTGATATATTTAGAAATAAGAGAAAACTGTCAAATTATAAGCTAAGCATATTAG